ATTGTAGTCCAAATGACAGTAAAATATATAGTATTTTCAGCTTCAGTTCCTTTTACATCTATTCCAGTATATTTTTTTATTTTCTTGTCATCTTCCCAGTTATTTCCCTTAATTTCTTTTATCAAGAACCAACAATTGGTATCAAGAGCCATCTTCTTAAGGGACCTAAGTAAAATCTTTTCTTGAGTGAGATGGAGACTGAAATGAGTTTTTCTCAATTGGCTCCTCCAGTCTTTGATGGTGAAAATTACCAACTGTGGGCAGTGAGAATGGAGACTTACTTGGAGGCTTTAGATCTTTGGGAGGCCGTGGAAGAGGATTATGATGTTCTTTCGCTGCCTAACAATCCCACGGTGACCCAGATCAAGAGTCACAAGGAAAGAAAACCAGGAAATCAAAGGCGAAAGCAACTTTGTTTGCTGGTGTGTCTGCAACAATTTTCACGAGAGTTATGGCTCTCAAATCAGCAAAAGAAATCTGGGATTATCTGAAGGGAGAATATACAGGAGATGAAAGAATACGAGGCATGAAGGTGTTGAATTTAATAAGGGAATTCGAGTTGCAGAAAATGAAGGAATCTGAGACTGTCAAAGAATACTCAGATCGGTTGCTTGGCATTGTTAACAAGGTAAGATTGCTTGGTACTAAATTTAAAGATTCAAGAATTGTTGAAAAAATTCTTGTTACGGTGCCTGAAAAATATGAAGTATCCATAACTACCTTGAAAAATACAAAGGATCTATCCAAGATTACCTTGGCAGAATTGTTAAATACATTGCAGCCACAGAGCAAAGGAGGCTTATGAGGCAAGATGGTAGGGTTGAAGGAGCCCTGGCAGCCAACCACAAAACTCAAAGCAAGGGTAATAATGTTAAAAAAAATTACCCGCCTTGTCAGCACTGTGGCAAAAAAGGTCATCCACCATTCAAATATTGGAAGAGGCCAGATGCAAAGTGCAAAATTTGCAACCAACTTGGTCATGAAGCTATAATTTGCAAAGGCAAATATCAAAAGCATGAAGCAGATGCCCAAGTCGCCAATGAAGAAGAAGAAGATCACTTGTTTGTGGCAACTATTCTTTCAACCAAAAAATCTGATTTTTGGTTGATTGACAGTGGTTGTACAAACCACATGACATATGACAGAAATCTTTTCAAAGAGTTCACGTCTATAGGAAATAAGAAAGTCAGAATTGGAAATGGTGATTATATTCTCGCTAAAGGAAAAGGAACTGTTGCAATCCCAACAAATTCAGGTACTAAGAAAATTTTAGATGTTCTTTATGTTCCTGATATTGATCAAAATTCATTAAGTGTTGGACAACTAATGGAAAAAGGATTTAAAGTATCCTTTGAAGATAAATATTGTTTCATTTATGATGTAACTGGACTTGAGATTTTAAGGGTTAAAATGAGAGGTAAAAATTTCTCATTTGATCCAACCGAAGATGAAGAATGGAGCCAAAAGAATCTACTAAGTGCAGGTAATCTCCAACTGAGAACATATGTGAAAATAAGGTAAGGAAGAAGTTGTCAATATTTCAAAAAACGCAATTCTGGAAGAAAGTTGACAAGTCTCAAGGCAAGATGCAAATGAAGCTGAAAAACGAGCCAACTTATTCGTTAACAATCATGAGATGCAGCAAAATACAGAAGTGAACTCGATTCACTGCAAGTACAAGATCAGTCGGCAAATTTACGTACAAAGTCGCTTCCAGTTAAACGGTTT